CATGGCTGATTGAGTTAAAAGGGTAGGACAGTCTGTAGGCATTTGATCTATAATTCATCACAGTAACTTGAGAGGCTTTTAGGGGCGAGCTGAAGAGAATGTGGTTGAACCTAGACAAAGCGTAAAAAATGAGCATTTGGCTGCTGCCGTCACCTCCTGTAAGTGCGGCCAGATGACGGTGGGACGCAGGGGATGGAGGAGCACTGGATACCTGTTGGGCAGCGTTAGTGAGAAGGCAGCGCGTGGACACCATACTTCCCGCTCCAGCCTTCACAGCCAGCACCGCCAGCGTGCAGCCCTTGGCGTCCTTTGTGAGCTGTCTGAAATCACCAGCCGCAAAAACATGTTCTGAATGTGGGTGGTGATGCGGGAATTTTAATTTATACATTCCCCAGTTCTCATCAGCTAGTGGCAGTTTCCCGAGGCATAAAAGGTGAGACTCACTGTCACCTGCCGCCCCCAGCCCCTGCTTTTATTTTCCAGGGATTCATTTGTGGGGAAGAAGAGTTTGGACTTTCTCTTAAGTTTTTATTAACGGATCTAAAGCCGAGACTAGCATTGTGCTGTCCGGGTAGTCAGCTGGGGTGCTGTGCGTAGCGGTAATCGCGATTCTCTACTGTCACTAGGATTGCTGTCCTTGGTGCTTCATGGATGACAGGTCGTTTCTCAGCCTGTTAGTTTGTGGGATTGTCCTGAGAGATGTTAATGGGTGTTTTGGGGGAGGCCCAAGGTCACATAAATTTGTAAACTATTTCTTAAACTAAGTGGGCCGTGGAACACCTGTCCGTATCCTGTAGGGTGGGTGTTGGGAGGAGTGTACTCTGGAAACAGAGCTAGACTAGCCCTGGTATTGCGCTGGTGACCTTCCTCTGGCCATAGTTAAAAAACAAAAGCACATTTTCTCTCATAAAAGATTTGCATTAGAAATAAATAGGATCAGTCACTCTCTAGCAGACCAACAGGGCAACTCTGTAGTCGTCCCCTCTGGACAGTTTAGGGCCATGTTACTAGTCCAGCTCCACTGGTTTGGAGCTGGGCCAGCACATTCCTGTGACTCAAACCATGTGGTTTCAAGACGCTGGTGAGAAACCAGTGACTTTTCAGGGTGTAATTTGGAGTATTTAGCAGTCAACTTCAAATGTAGGGGAAGGGATCGTCAGCGGGAAACTTGAGTGGGACTGGCTGGGCTTTGAGCATTCTTAGACTTCAGCAGACCAGAACTCTGCATGGCTCTCACTTCAAAGGACACGGATGCCAGTGGGGAGATCGGAGTCAGTCACGGACGCCTAGAAGAGTATTTCACCTGGTCTGCATTTTTAACTCGCTTGACAAGCCCCTCACGCCCAAGGTAAATGGTCTCTGTTCTCGTTAGGGAAAAAGGCTGTTTGTCCAGGTAAACACTTTAACTTCAGCAGCCTCACTTCTCATGGCATTTAGGCCTTTTTTTTTTTTTTTTTTTTTTTTGTGCTTAGAAGACAAGTTTGGCTGGAATGGAAGCATCTCACCTAATTAAAATTCTAAATAAGTGTTCGTTAGCATGTTCAAAGAGTTCCACTGGAGTTTTCCAAGTGAACAATGGAACCTAAGGACCGGATTTTCCCTTTTTCCCCCTCAGGCCTTCCATGAGAGAGGTGTGTGTGAGAATGGAGAACGGAGGGCTTCGCTGATCTGTCTGTGGTGTGTCGTCAGGACGATGCAGACTCATAGCGACCCTGTGACAGCAGAACTGCCCCCACAGGGTTTCCAGAGCTGTACTCTGTGGGAGCAGAATGCCACGTCTTTCTCCCAAGGGATGGCTGGTGGGTTCAAACCGCTGACCTTTTTGGTTAGCAGCCGAACTTTTAACCATTGTGCCAGCAGGGCTCCTTGCTTTGTCTTTACTCGTGGGCATATTATGTTATGGTTTGTAGGAACAGCTTTTTTTTTTCCCCTCATAAAGCAGGAATCAGGTGGTTTGAACTCCTGATGGCTCTGGTAACATAGAACCCCATGGGTGTCACTAAGAGTTGGGAAGAGAGGGGGAAGAAAACAATCCTCATAGCGTGTCGTCACCCTTGGGCCGTTCAGCAGTTACGGAGGCAGGCTGGTTTGGGGAAGAGGTAGGAGTGTTTTAGCCTCAGGAGTGTTGTACAGCGGTGGCAGAGAGAAGCTTTACCACGGCACTCTAAAATCTCCTAACTTAGGAGCCTAATCACATCCTGTAGTCATTACTACAGTATAGGCTTCAGTATAGGCGTTCTGAGGACCACATTTCAGGTCACCCCTCACTAGTAGATACTCTGGCTGCTGCCTCAGACTGTATGTCATGACAGGGTCTAGCAGAGGTTTCAGAGTTGAAAAGCAAGAGAGCAACTATGTGCAAATACTCTAAAACCGGGCAAGCGTTCTTTTCACTGGTTATCGGAATTCTTTCATTCCAGTGATACGGGAAGAAATCTGCATATTCCTTAGCACTAAGCATGTCTTGCCCAAAGCGCTCAGAAATAACTAATAGTTGATTCCTATATGCCACCCTGTCACAGACCGCAAGAATTTTTTTGTATTGGAATCTAGAGTTCAGGGATGTTAGCTATGCCGCTAGCATTCTCGAGAATGTTCCTTATACTTTCAGGAAAATTAAAGTGCCGTGGGGTAGTGGGGTTTGGGGGACCTCAGAGATGAAGGCAGTATTAATTGCAAGTAAAACCAGAAACCATTTGCTGTGGAGCTGGTTCTGACTCATGGCGACCCATGTGTGTAGAGTAGATGTGCTCCATGGGGTTTCCAAGGCGGTGACCTTTTGGAAGCGGATCACCAGGCCTGTCCTCTGACGTGCCTCTGGGTGAGTGAGAAGTTGAGTGCTCGACTGTTCATGCCACCCATGAACTCAGGAATTGCAGGTAGGTTGCACGGAAGTAGGTCCGACGTATGTGCAGGCACTGGGTCCACTGAACCTGAAGCCTAGATCCGACTGCCTGGAGGTGTGGATTTTACTTTACAAATTTTAAGATTATTTCCAAATTCCTTTCATTTGTAATTTTGTTACAGAGGCATAGTGTTTCATTTTAGAGGCCAGTTATATAGCTTTATCACTCTGTGTTCTCAAGTGGCCCGTCTTCCCTCCCGAGGAAAGGTTTATTCAGCATTGAACCAAAAAGATGGCTTAGATTGTCTTTCTGGAGCCTACCAATTGGTGCATTCTGTATGCAAATAAGAGGGACAGACCTGACTTCTTACCCCAAGTTTCAGATTCCAGAAGACACACTCCACTGCATTCCTCCCTCAGTAGAGCAACGGAAGAGGCCGTTTGTTCAGACTGTGGTGATGCTGGTGCGGAACTGATGGATCAGTGGGAATGTATCTACAACTCACGCTGGAGTGGTAGGTAAATACCACTCAGATCTGTCACTTGCCCATTACTAACGGCCGCCAGCATGGTGATGGCCGGAGCTCACCCATCCAGGATCCCTTGTGAAAACCATACGGAAGTTACCGTGGGTTCAGCCAGTGGCGGACTGGGATGGGGATAACCCGGGACAGGCTGGGAGGCAGCAGAGCTTTTCAGGAATGAGCTTCCCTCAGTTCCTAGGCTGTCTGCTGAGTCTCTGAGTTGGAAGCTCACAGATGGGCTGAAGGCAAAGACCCCTGATCCAGTGTGCCCAGAGCCGTGCTGGGTGTGGACCTGAAAGGCCGGGGAAGTGCAGCTGGTTTCTGTGGGCACACAGTCTCGGGGTATTGGGAAGCAGCAAACTGCTCTTCCGACGTCAGTGTGAGACCCTACTTCCCAGGTCAGGAGGGACCTACGGTGCAGTGCCCTGGAGTACATCCGACTCTCCCATCTCTGCTTCTGTTCCCTCCAGCTCAGTGGCCAATCCTTAGCCCTGTCAAGGCCTGAAACTGGGTAAAAAAGATCTGCTGGTCGCTGGTCTGCTGTGTGGGATGTGTTTGGTGGTTCTTGCGAAAAAGGAATTTGCCAAGCAATGGTGTGACAGCTGGAATAAGCACTTTATTTTTAAAAATGACAATATAAAAGTACCTTTAAACAATTTATAAAAGCACAATAGACCGTGTGGAAGTTGTTCTGTTTCCCATAGAAACAAGACCAGGAGCCAGGCGGCACAGACAGCAGAAGCTGGTCCTTAGACACCAGAGTTCACGTCAGTCCTCAAGCTGCTCGCTGTCCTTGTCCCCTTATTTACAGTAAGAAAGCACCCTTCACCCCGGCTCTTCTTTTCTTTTGATGACCTTTAAAAGCTTCTTGACATCTTTATTTCCAATGGAAAAATGAAACACACACACACACAAAAACAAACCAGCCCTGTAATCATGGAAACACTGAGTCTTCAGCACAGATGTGCGCAGGTCAGTAAGAAAGATTCTGATCACATTTAGCCATATAAGTCATCGGAAGTTCTTAGACAGGTCAATACAATTTTACACGTGGCTGTACGAGAGGGAGAGGCTGAGCAGCCACAGACTCTGGAAATGGGTCAACTTACATACAACCCAAGCTGGGCTTTTTGGCTGCTTCTAGAAGCAAACTCAACGTTCTCATCCTGAACTCCACTGGCAACATCATCTCTTCCTGTGCTGCTGTGGTACGTAGTCTCACAATGAGAAAACGGGATTTAGGACAATGTTTTAAGTGGTTCATTTGGCAAGGTGCTGCCAAGTCTCAGAAACACCAACTCAGTTCAACCCATGTTGGCAAAACCACTTGGGAACCCTGAGCTGCCCACGGCAGTCAGCTGGGTGGAGAGGCAGGGCTGGGCTCTCTCCTGGGCAGGCTGGCCTCCCAAGCTGGGCTTTTTCCTTATCAGTGAAACAGACTCTTCACTTCCACCGGGGAAGGGGACGGCTTAAGGAATGTGAGTTAGGCATTAAGTGAGTTACAAACACCCAAGAGGGTGCTACTGTAAAAGATAAATAAACCCACAGAAACCAACACTTGGCACGCAGTGTGGCACAGTCCGATCTGAAGCTGCCAGGGCTCTCTGAGGGCACGCCTCCGACCAGGAATTTGTACCAGTGAAACTCCCCCCCACCCCAGTTGTGAACATGCCACCGAGTTAGAAACTTCTTTAGGCTTTTTTGATTGTCTTGCAGGGATATCCTACTAGAAATGGGATCACACACCTAACGCTGCAGATAACACAGTTCTGTCTAACATGCACCAATTACTAACTCACCCTAGACTCAGCCCAGGGAAACGGGCTTCTATACAGTCACGATACAATTCTGGAAGTTTTGATAATATTTAAAAGCATGCCTGAAACATGCAGCTCACTTTAGAGGAAAAAAAAAAAAAGGATTAATTACAAGCATTCAAAAGTCAAGCACAAAAATCCTGATCCGACCCAGTGTAAGATAATCCATCCTGTCATATACTTAAAATGTTTGGTATAAAAATACTCACTCTCTTGGTTTTATTGCCGACTTCTCTTATGTTTTGTTTGAAAATATCTCCAAACTGTACAGAAATGTATGTCAGGCCATGCGTTCACAAATAACACACTATTTCTCACAATTATACAGTGTAAAAGAGTAAAACATTTTTATTATATATATATTTTTTTTCTTCGAGAAAAACAGATGTGTGATAGAGGCTGTGGCAGAGTCTTGGAGGGCTCAAAACTGGGCGAGGTTTTCTCAAGCCTGAAACAAAGGAAACAAGTCAGGAGAGTGGACCCCAACCACACATGGCACTTCTGTCACTATGGGTTTGCTTTGGAGATGCCTGTGATAGAAGAATTCCTGGCTTAGAAACCCACGGGAAAATTCATTAGTGAGTCTCAATGAAGAGTGTGTGTGTGTGTGTGTGTATGTGTAAACATACCTCACTGTCCCTCCACATTCATTAGTGAGTCTCAGTGAAGTGTGTGTGTGTGTGTGTGTGTGTGTAAACATACCTCACTGTCCCTCCACATAAAGACCGCACACAAGAATATCAGTGGTCTCACCATGAGCTACACGGGCAATACAGATTTAATTTCCATTTGTTAGCCTTGACGGACACTTCAAAACCTTCTTTCCCTGAAGTTGCAAGGAAATGTTCACATATTTGAATCGCTCTGTGGCAGAAAAAAGGGGCCTCATGCAATCCCTGAAGCGCTCCTGGACCCCCTGGCGGAGTCCCACCCTGGTCTTGGGGGTTTTCTTCACACACCTGAACGCTACTCTGCTTGGTGTGCTTATGCTGCAAAGGCCGCACTGTAAGGTCCCTGCTGTTACTCTGTCATTTACTGTCCTGTGTCTCCTCAGTCTCAACTCTCTTGTTTTCTTACCACCCATAACATGTCAAACTCATCTGTGGTTGTAGAAAATGTATATGGAGAAGTAAATCCGCGTATACTAGAATTCTGCATAGGGAAATGCTTGTTTGTGGGAAGAGGCTATAGAGAAAACAGCATCATTATTGATGACCCATCTAACAGTCTCAAGTCAGACTTATTTGGGAAAATGCATGTTTAGTATTAAAATCTGAAATGAGAAAGATATTTAGGTGAACACCTTCACAAATGGCTAACTGGACAATCTTAGTCAATAAACAATCTTACACAAATCCCATCTGTACAACTCTGGCTGCGTCTGAACTGTGACCCAGTGGATCTTTTCACATCCTAGTTTTTGGGGCACCGTACAAATTGGTAGAAATAAGAACTGGTTGCAAGTCAGAAGACCCGATATAATGACCACATACCTATGGATCATGGAGACGATCTTAGTCTCTCTGCACACCCAGACCTCATCTATAATGTTAAATAGCTATCTTATCTGCCTGTTTGAGGTGGCAATTATTCAAGTAGTCCTATCATATCAGTGTAAGTTAAAAAGTCCTAATTAGAGCCCCTTGATTTGGAAATGCCCCCAGTGTTAGCTCTGTGAGGGCCTGACTCGCACATAGAGCCTGAAACTTTGGTCCACGACCCCCCACCCTCACTTCCCTCCTCCTCCCTTTACTTTCTCAGCAGAATTCTCTGAAACAGGAGGCTCTGTCTCCCAGGAGTGACTGAGGAGATGAACTCTTTCAGTGAAATCAAGCTTTCTGACTCTAGTGCCCGGCACAGCAGTGGGATCTACCTGCACTCAGCACACGTTCGCTGATGAAGAGATCTAAGTGGGCAGGAGCAGTGCACACCTCGTCTTTGGGACGGGCCACACGTCCTGTAACGCTCATCGAGCAGGTCTGTCTGAGGAAGCTTGCGACTTGTGCCCGGGGAGCAGGAGCAGCAGGAGGACCCTCTCCCGGAAGCCTCCCACCTCTTCTGCTACCCCGCTACCCCGGTCTACTTGGGAGGAGGTGGGGCCCAGGGATCCCCCCTGGCGGCGTGCACAGTGTGTCGCAGCTCCAGTGGGTAGTGGAAGGGAGGGCGTGCTCAGGGGTGGGGCATCTTTGCATGGGGCTGGATCCAGGGTTGCAGGGGGATCGTGAGGCCGGCCATTACCTCTGGGCGTATAGCCGCCCAAGTTCCCTCATGAGCCCACGGCCTTTTTCTGGCGTGCCTCACGTCCTCACTAACACCTGAGCAGCCCTTTAAGGAGGTTCCCCTCAAGGACATTGGTCTTCAAAGAGACTCGGTCCAGCTTGAAGGAGATGACACCTCTCCTGCCCATCCCCCAGTCATGTCTGTGCAGTGAAAACATTTATGGAAATTGGACACGAGGTCAGTTTCTTCCCCAACACCCTCAGCTTGTCAGGCCTGGAACGACGAGTTCCACATCATCCTAAACTTGACCACCTGCCAGCAAGCTGTGTGGGTTTATTCCAGGAAACCATTTCTGAGGAACAGCAGTCACACCATGGCTGTTTCTACCTTGAAACAATTCATAGGGACAGCACTCGGCAGCCCCTGGGCTCTTACAGAGCAAGGCTCTGAGGCCACCTTGGGAAAGCAGCTGGCACCAGATGTGCCCGCATCAGAACCCCCACACTGCTTTCAGGGGCTGTGAGAAAGGACGAGCTGAACGAACAGGTGAAGGAAAAGGGGCCACGTGTGAGCGCTTCTTCCCAGAAGCTCCCTCCTGTGGGCTGGGCTCACTGGGTGATGAAGGCTGAGTCCCTGCAGTCTCTCCCCTGCCCTGGGCTGTGTTTGGCAGGGCCTGGCTGGTCTGCTTCTGCTCTGTTCTCTGGAGAGTTCAACAGCCAATTCTTGGATGATTCTTTTCCTCAATTCCCCCATGAGCATTAACTTTCTCCTGGACATTTCTGCCACAACCTCAAAGGCAACGTGTCCAAACACTCATCACCTTGCCTTAAAACAGCTCCAGCTGCTGACCCCGTCTGCCCGTTATTCTTTGTCACCCAAGCCCAGCCTGGCACTGATCTGACCCTCACGCTAACTCATCCCTTCAGAGGAGTCCACACAACCCTGCCCTTCTTGGATATTCTGTTCCTTCCCAACTCCACTGTCTTGGGTTTGTCTCTCATGATACATGTCTCTACCTAGACTCTTCATTATGGTTTTGGCAGCAAGACGATGAGGATTCCTAAAACACCCCCCCCCCTTGCTCAAATCTCTCCCGTGGCTCCCCAAGTCCCTGACCCATCCTCCAAGGCCCTCAAAAGCTTGGTTCTAATCTACTTTTGACAAGAACATGCTGTGTCTACTCTTAGTCCGTCTCATCTTCTGTTCTAATCCCCCTCAGCATATACAAACCACCCTTCAGAATTCAGCTTAACCCCGCCTGCCCAGGCCTTTCCTGACCCCTTCAGCCTGCAGGGCTTCCTCTGAGCTCCTATCACCAGCTCTCACTGTCCAGGCCACGTCTTTGGTTTTGGCAAGGATTACCTTGGATTGTTACTTTCTTTCCTAAGAACACCGTCTCGTTCCTCAGCCCCAGACACTGTCCCTTGCATACAGCAAAGAATGCAATCACACCTTCAGACATTTGCAGGAGGGTACCAAGACACAACCCCTTGTCTTGCTGATGCCCTGGGCTAAGAACCGGGAGATGGTGTCTTGGGACCCACCTTGGGCCTCTGTACCCTGGCCATGGCACCCTGAGTGCCTCCACCAGCAGCTTTGGCCACGGGGGGCCTCCTCCCAGAAGCTGGTACCTTGGGGGATGGGAGGTACCTGCAGTTTTCCTGGGGAATAAGTAACCCACCGGGCCCCAAACTACAGCAAAGATGCCGTCACACATTCAAACATTTGGACCCCTGATGAGCAGGAAGAAAGGGGTGAGGGTCTGCCTAGTTCTGGCTGGCTAGAAAGGCTGACTGGAAGTGAAAGAGAACAGGGAAGGGCAGAAGGATGAGCGAAGGAGGGAGACGAGAGTCTCTGTTTGCGGAGCTTTTCCCTGACTGTGCCACGTAAACGGAATTCTCGCATGGGAAAAGAATGCATCTACACCGCCATAGATGTTCCCAGGCTGAACAGAAGGTCAGAATGTGGCTATTTCAGTCCCTGTAAACAAGGAAGAGGTTTAACTAGGGACCGAGTTCAAACTTCGGAATGTAGTAAAAAAGATCATTTTAAACAGAACCCAAAGATATCCGGGAACACAAGGCACCATAGGGGGTGGCCAGTGAGGAGGGTCAGGCTCTGTTTAAGGAGCAAATTCTCCTTAGAACACGCACGTGAGGGATGAGGGATGTAAATATATACGTAAAATATCCTGTCTCAGGGAGGTCACTATGCCATTTTGAAGACCTGAGGGTGTCGCCTGATATCTTAAGGAACATTATCAAGTTCTAAAACATTTCAGCTGCGTTGTCCTTGACCAGAAAATCCACACGGGACACTCAGTACTTTGGGGACAACCTCCCCTTTGTAAGCCAGACTCTGTCCAGGAGCTTTGTGACATTTTTCTCTCTGCAATAAGAAATAATTCTCTTTCTCTCTCTGTGTTTCCCCTGATCCATCTATATATACTTGACCTAAATGCTAATAATTTCTTCCCTAGAATTCATTTACTCTGTGGGGCCCTGGTGGCATAGTGGTTAAGAGCTCGGCTGCTAACCAAAAGGCCGGCAGTTCAAATCCACCAGCCGCTCCTTGGAAACCGTATGGGGCAGTTCTACTCTGTCCTATAGTGTTGCTATGAGTCGGAATGGACTCGACGGCACCTAACAACAACATTTACTCATTTTTATCAAAAGTCCCATAAGGAATATGCCCACTCCATCCGACTCTAAATAAATAGGGGCTATTATATGTGACAACAATTTTTAAGTAATTAAAAGTGTGTTCATGGACTGCCAAAGGAACGAACAAATCTGTCTTGGAAGAAGTACAACCAGAATGCTCCTTAGAAGCAAGGATGACGAGACTACATCTCACATAGTTTGGACATGTTGTCAGGAGGGATCAATCCCTGGAGAAGGACATCATGCTTGGTAAGGTACAGGGTCAGCGAAAAAGAGGAAGACCCTCAACGAGATGGATTGACAGTGGCTGCAACAATGGGCTCAAGCATAACAACGACTATGAGGATGGCGCAGGACGGGGCAGTGTTTTGTTCTGTGGTGCACAGGGTCGCTATGAACCGACTTGATGGCACCTAACAACAACAACAAGAGTGTGTTAGCTTTCATTTTGTACTTGGTAGCTTAATTTTTTTTTTAATCAAGTGCTGGTATCAATTAGTAATACAAAGACCAGGTAACATTTAAGAAGTTCACAGTCTGTAGAGAAATGGTGTTCTTTAGTTAGTAACTCCTGCTCCAAAGACACCAATGCTGGTGGCCCCTCTGGTCCTCCACAGCCCACACGGGCTGCTCGAGCACTTTCACCCAAGGTTCCAGCTCCCCCTGGGCTCAGAGAAGGTTCACCCTGGGGCAGACACCCTCCTCCTCACAGCAGGCCCGTCTCTGCAGGCCACAGCAGTCTGACTTCAGATGAGGAGGCAGAAAAGCCTCCTCTCAACCCATTAAAAAAAAATTATTATGCAAATATATTTAACACAGCATTTGCCAAATCCACATTTTCCAGGTGCACAATTCAGTGATATCCATTACAGTAATCATGCCGTGCAACCACTGCCCATAATCCTGGCCGATTTCCCATTACCATAAACCATGTCCATTCTTTTAACCATGGAGGCCCCAAGAGCTGGGACCCCGTGTGACAGCACACGGCCAGCGTCTCAGGTCTGCACACACCCTCCTCCCGTCGACTCCTGGCTGGCCTGCCACCCCACTTCTCAGCATCGCCCCAGCATCTGTAACCTGACTCTGAGCCGCTTCTCCCCCGGACCCTCTCACCAGGCAGGCCCTCCCTCTGTTCAGCCACAAGCTCACCAGAGGCTACCGCGGCTGCGGCTGACCGGCTCACCCGCCTGCGTCCTCCGTGACTAATACTCGGGCTGATTTATTGCATTTAAAACATCCTTATGTCCCCACTCGCTTCCAAAAAAACTATGTGCATGGCTTTTCATTGGTCACTCAATTTCCCCAGAGGGGAAAGAAAAACCCTTGTCTTTTAAGCTTTGCTGCATAACAATATCAATAAGAGTATCATGGATACTGCTGTTAAGAAGCAGGACAAGAGAACAATCTAACTAGAAAGGGGTACAATTAGTGGGATAAACATCAGCTGCCCTATGTGACATATGCGGGTTAGGCTGAGAAACAGATGTAATAGGAGAAGTACCTGCAGCACAGGCTGCTGGCTTCCTGTGCAGAAAGGTGCCCAGGAAGGAGAGGGAGGGGCAGGCGGATGGCGGGACTTGGCCCACAGCGTTGTGGGTGCCTCCGGTCCTGCTGCTGTGAGCGTGAAATTGCTGAAGCCCCAAAAATGTGTTAATGACTTTCCTGGCCGAAACGGCTTGGTTCCCCGTCCTTAGCAGGAATCTTGCCCTCCTTTCTGACTCATCTTTTCTGCACCGGCCCGTCTCGGGGATGAGCTTTGCCACCTTATTTGGGCCGAGACGTAGACAGCGGCTGGCCTGCCCTGGTGCTCCTAAGCTTTCCATAGAGACCTAGAAGACTCTTGCCTGGCAGGCAGGTGACCTCTGGGAAGGCTGTGTTATTTTAAGACTGTACGTGCCATTGTTGTTGGCAGGTGCCGCTGAGTTGATTTTTGACCCGTAGCGACCTCATGTGACAAAGCAGAACTGCATAGGGTTTTCTCGGCTGTAACCTTTACCGGAGCAGAAGCTTACAGACTGACAGCTGATAGGACAGGAAAGACAGATACATCACCCCATCACTTAACAGAGAAGTCCAGCAGTCTAGGGGAACTCAGTAAGAATCCTGTATAATTCAGTAATGGCTGAAGGTAACTACCTGTTCCTGAAAAGGCTCATAAAAAATGCCCCCGAGTCATTGAGAAAGCAGGACATTATATTCAGTGTAACTGGATTAATCAGACAGGGATGATGTACATGCTGTATTTGAATAAGATTTTAACCAGAAATGTTAATCTTCAAAAAAAGGCTTAGGGGCGTCAAGGGAAAAGCGTTGTTTATCTGTAAAATCCCCTCAGGTGGAATAATCTCATTTTATGCTCCTACCAGGTCCTTACCGGCCCTGACGGCACCGTGGTTAAGAGCCAGGCTGCTAGCCAAAAGGTCAGCAGTTTGAATCCACCAGCTGTTCCTTGGAAACCCCATGGGGAAGTTCCACTCTGTCCTATAGGGTGGCTGTGAGTCAGAATCAACTCGACAGCAACAGGTTTGGTTTGGTTTTGGTACTGTATACTCAGGTGTTGATGGTGTCAGCCTTACCAGGGAAGGCTGTGGCAGATCAAAAGCTGGATGTGACGATGCTCTGAAAAGCACGCACTGCTGTCTGGGACCATCCATCCCCCTAGCAGGCCGTGGTGGAGACGCTGACGAGCACACCCACAGGGCCGAGCGCTCTCCACCAGTGCTTCTCACCAGCACAGATCAGGGTCCCCGGGGGAGATGTCGGCACCATGTGCCCTGGCCCCGCCCCCAGAGCTTAGATTCCTTCAGCCTGGGGTCCCTAGCTGATGCTGGTGTGATGGTCCCAACCACTGGATTAGCACTGGTCCCCTGCCAGGACACCCTGTGCCTCTGGAGGGCTTGTTCAGCCACAGACTCTGGAACTTACCAGCACGCTCCAGTTTTGTGGAACAGCTCGAGAACAGTAGCCACCATTGAAGATTGCATTAATACCCACAAGACAGATTGCAGCCACCATCACACACCTGGAACCTGGGTGGAGAGAGATCACCATTAACAGAGCACCCAAGGCCCCTCCCCGGCTGGCCTCCCGCTGGGGCTCCCCAGGCCTTGAAGACCTGCCTGATCTGACAGCTCCTGAGGGCAAAGAGCTGAGATTCAAAACCAAGAGACCAAGGGCCTCCGCTGCCGAGCGGAAGACAAACCGCCACCTAAGAAGGACCTGACGTCAGTGGCAGGAAAAGCCCTCAGCCGGAAAAACAAACTTAGGAGTCGGGGGAGGAGCAAGAGAGACAGAGCCCTCTGGGCTGGGGGAAGGGCATTCGGCGACGCTGCTGTGGACACGGGCCTGGCGTCCCCTTCGCTGTGTGCTCCAGGATGTTGTTGTTGTCTGTTGTTAAGTGCTGTTGAGTCAATTCCAACTCACAGCGACCCTACAGGACAGAATGCAACTGCCCATAGGGCTTCCAAGGAGCAGCTGGTGGATTCCAGCTGTCGACCTTTTGGTTAGCAGCCAAGCTCTTAACCACTGCGCCGCCAGGGCTCCGCACTCAAGAGCAGCAGGAAGTAAACCACCTGAGGGCAGAGGCAGCCCCACCCAGGAAAGGCACAGGCCCCGACACCCCAAGCAGGGGGCATCCCAGAAACCTAATCCACTCCAGGAGCCGCCTCCACCCACAAGGACAGCTGTGGTCAGGAGACCCCAGCTGCAGATCTCCAGGAGACCCCGTGCTGAGGCACACGAGCGCCACTCCTCCCCGGGCACCCACCAGAGAAGAGAATCACAAGGGAACACATGGGTGATCATCTCCTGCTTGTCCTCAGGCTCTGAGAATTTTGAAACATGCCTTCAGAAGGGGCAGAGACCCATCAAAGGATTCGTTTTTAAGAGTCCTCCTGCAGGCAGCTGGTTCTCACAAGAATTCCTGGTGGATCCAGGAAGGAAGCCCTGCTCTGTGCACGTGGACGCCCACGGCCCCTTCCCTACAAATCTCTCGACTCTTCAGCCCTGCTTAGGGCTGTTTTCCTTCCTGCAGACAGAGGCGGTTCCTGGCATGCAGGGCTCCATGAACATCCGGGCACAACTGATGTCCTGCAGCAAACTCTGAGTTCCCGGAAAATACCTGGCAGCCCCCCAGAGGAAGAGCCCCATGGCTCCTTGGGCTGGCCCCTGCCAGACTGCAGCAGAGACCATGTCCTGGGCTGAAACCCCACTCAGAAATGACAGGTGAGGCTGAAGAAAAGAGAGTTTTACCAGGACACCACTTCTCAGAATGAAAAACAAAAACAAAAAAACACACCCAAACTTCACTGTCAGAAACATTCAAAGATGGAGCATAAGTGATTCTTAATTTCCTGGTGAAAGGTGGGTGATGAAAGGACAGAAAAAATAAACACTAATCTTTGCAAATGAAACCTACCAGCCCACAAACCGTCCTCAGCCCTGCCCCCCACTTCCGGCACACAGGAGGGCCACAGCAGGAGACCCATGGGGCCTCCTGGGGCTGCCGGGGAGGCCATGGTGCTTGGAGGCCTGTTGTTTGAGAAATCCACACTGACAACCAGGTTCGTCTGGGGCCCTGGCTTCAGCTAATCGGCCTGACTCAGGACTGACGAATCAAGAGTACTGCAACCCTAACTCTAGCCCGTGTTCCAGGAGCCTGGGGGTTTATCAACAAGCAGCTCTCTGGGTAGAATGCCTGGTCTCAAAAGAGCTCATATCGCACGTCGAGGCTCACCTGTAGGGTGGTGAGGTGCGTGAGCCAGAGTCCATTCTGCAGAGACCCCATGAGACGATTCCTCACAAGAACCTAACACACCGGGTGGAGCTCCACGAGTTCCTTTCTAACTTCGCGACGAGCACATGGGCCTTCTGAATTTCTACTTTCAAGCGTGTAGGAGAGATGGTGGGTCCCGTAGAAGGGCCTGCAGGACTGACGCCGGGAATTGTGGAGCCATTGAGATCCAATTTATGGGTCTTAACAGATGGTCTCCCTCTTTGAACTTCTCCAGAGAACAGTCTGGCAACGATACTGGTGCCTGTGTGTCGGGGTCTCCAAGAACTCTCAGGAACTCAGGGAGAAATCTCAGCCTCTCCTGCATGTGGTTGTCACACCGTGTTGGTCTGCAGACGTGCTTGGTAAGTGCTTGTCTCAGCTTAAAGCAATCGGGAGAAACCCGCTGATGTCTGGAAAGAGCACCCAGCACAGGATCGGGTGGGGAGCAGATTTCCAGCCCCATTCCTGCCTTCACAACCCATACGGGAACCATAACAGACCTCAGGCTCAAAGGAATCTCAACGGCGCAGAACCATGGCACACATCTCCTCACGAGGAAGATGGGAGACCCCTTTCAGAGAAAGGACTGACAGGCAGGCTGCCTGGGTATTCTCTCCCAGAGCACTTTTAAGTCAAGCCTGCTGCCGCCAAGCCTGTTCACTTGATTTAGGAAAGAGAGATGCAAGAGGATCAGAGAAGTGAAATTATTCTTTCAACTTGAGTAAAGCTGGGTCTGGTTTTGAAAAAGAAATCCCGTATAAATCTGGAAAAGCTTTAGGTCTCTGTTCAAATGTTATCTCATCAGGTTGCCCTTGACTCTCCTATATAAAACAGACATGCCTACCAACCCCACAACATTTTATCCCTCTTACCTCGTTTCCCCCTCCCCATAGTGCTCATCACCCCCGACCAATGATATGTTTATTTTTTTCATCACCCATCTCCTGTTACAGAATGTCAGCTACATGAAGGCAAGGACTTGGTCTAACTTTGTTTGCTGCTGTATCCTCAGCACCTGGAATAATACCTTAGACATCACAGGTGTTCACTGAATATTTATTGTGTTAATGAATTTAAGTATGACAGAGACCTTGACCAACAGAATAAGGGGGAATGATAACTCATTCACAAGTCCTGTCCTGATTTCTGGGCACACTGTGTCTCCGTTAGGGAGAAGGCAGGTTTGACTACAGGAGTCACAGTAGCTGTCTGGCCTGCATGAAGACCCAGTGCCTTTCTCTCCCTGTAAACCTCCGTACTGTGCCCTGACATCCAGGACCTGCAGCTCCCCTGAAGATGACACTGTGCTCACAGCTCTCATACTTATAGCCAGAGACAGACCAGGCTGTTCCTCCCAAAAGAAAACATAAAGAATAAACAGCTTGAAATTCTGTCCTTGTTATCACTTGCCATGTCCTTCTCTAATTTGGTGAGGCCGTCACTACATATGCTTATAATTTCTATGCTGTGGTCTTGGTCCATGGCCAGGGAAATTTCATGAGCTCTTAAAGAAGAGCACTCCCCCGTCCCCACCCCAAATACCAACTCTCTTTCCTCCGCTTTTTAAAAACTACGTTGAGATTCCCAGCAAGGAAAGCTGTAACTCTCATTTCCTGTAAGGAGTGAGAAAGAACTTACTCATGCTTGCTTGCTCTCAACATATCTGAGAAATTGATACTTTTCAACCATTATTGTGAGTTCTGGGCTTCTCAGCCACATGGCTGGGCCATGAGCAAAACTCTAGTGGCGTGGGGACGTAGCCAGGCTAAACACCCTCCACACCAAGCAGGACTCTGAGCAAACTACACCACCAATAACAGCTACCCATCTGACTACCACTCTTCTGATGCTCTTACTTATGCCCCAGTGAGAGTAACACAAACACACACACACTCACTCACACATGTCCTACCTGGAAGCTGTTCTCACAGGAGGCCCACAAGCTACACAGCATCTTATTACCTTATCTTGGACCATCCTGGGCAAGACAGGAGAGCCCTTGACTCTCCCATCAGAGCTTAAGCTCCTCAGGGGCACAGACTTGGTTTTGCACATTTTTATATGAGCACATCTAGCCGCTGATTTTCCTTTATCAATAGAAAGTCAAAGTGGATAATCCTTGAAGGACCTTTGGGAGAACAAGATGCTGATCCACTCAGGATTTGGGAGGAGAGCACCCGACGCTCCCCCACATCAGAATCGACGGCCAGTCTTACTGGCGTCTGATACTAGACATCACTTCTGTTCATCTGCTGTTCTGGCACCATCTTTCTCATGCCGGGAAAGCCCCCTCTGGTGAACGGAGGAGGACCACGTGGGCCAGCGGTGCCGTCAGTGGCATCTGTCCTTCATTTGACCTTTTTGGGCGACTCGTTTTTGCTCTAAAATGTTTACATTAGCTCATCAGCACCAGTTCCCAATTCTAATTTACATTTCCCTAAGATTATGTAACTTGGGGTTATTAGCTGTCATGAAAAAGACTTGATCCAAGAGACTAGAAGGAGCCTGAGTTATGGAGCCACACTGAGTGGGTCTAACTTCAGGCAGGATGGGAGCACGGTAACGAGTGTTACCCAGGACAGGAGTCTGGCCCACAGCCCCGGTTTAGCTCAGAGCAAATGATTCCCCCTCAGGAGATATTACATATCCTTATTCAGATCCTACGGTGTTTTATAAGCCATACTTGCAAAGGGCAGCAAGGGCTAGCCTTACTTTGGTAGCCATTGCTGTCTCTAGATCTCCGGCAGATTGGTTAGTCTGTGGAGAATGACGATTTGGAAAAAAATTAGGTGAGCTGATACAAAAGAAGCCTAGGATCCTTCTGACCAGAACTCATGTAACTGCTTAAGGATGGAGGTCTTTCCTTTGGCCCTACATCACCAGCCTTTGCCATCTTCTCTGCCAACTGAAATGGCCAAGTTTGAAGGTATTCGCTCATTTCCCTAAAGCATGAGACACTGCTGACGAGAGCACAGCGCTCCTTCTCGGGCTTCACAGCTCACCCAAAACTTCTGATCAATCTTCATTCTCAAAGGCTGATCTTCCTCTGCCAACTTCTTACATCTAGGTGAGCTTCAAGATTTCGTCCTTAGTGACTGCTGTTACAATTCCTTCTCGGGAAATTGCATTAATTCCTGCGTCTGCTGAATTACAGACAGACATTTCAGGTCGTGAACTTTTTCCTGAGCTTCAGGAATTCCAGTTAGCTCATCTTAGATCTCTCTAGTTGAATACTCTACCAGCCTCTGAAAACTGACAGATAAATACTGTCGTGGAAGAGAGGCCCTGTGTCATGGTGCCTTCTGGAATTGTGCAACATGGCCATGCGGGACCAATGCCATATGGTAATGGAGGGGGCTCCCATATGACTAAATGATTGGGCTTCTCAAATGAAGAAACAGGGCTAGGAGGATACATGACCTAAGTTTAAAAATTAATTAAAGGCAGATGGATATGGACCATGGCTTATGAAATCCTGGACTTAAGAAATCCCAGAATATGCGTCAAAGCTTAAAAATAGTATTTTAGAAGGGGAAAAGGCAAACTAAAGTGTCCACTATGAAGTAAACTTTTAGATTTCACAAAATAGTAAAATTTTTAAGAGAAAACTAGGTATCTACCATGGATTGCTAACTATTTTTCTAAGAAAGAACGTTTAACATACAATTTCCATCTACTAACACTGCTATTTCATTTAAAAAGGGTACTTGAACGCATGCATGTGTACACACACACACACACACACACACACACACGAACATACTTTCAGAATAAGGGACAAATACAAGTACCTTTAAGGAAAGAACCTACTATACATTGTCCTGTACTATATTTTCCACATCATCACAGATTAATGAAAAAATACCACAAGCCACCACTGGTCCAAGGATCTGTGGAGCCACTGGTTTAGATAAACTCCCGGATAAGATGATAGGGCAGTGTTTCCCAAAGTGTGCTCTATGTAAAACATTAATCTAGGATATTCTGTTAAAATAGTATTCCCTGGTCTCAAATAAGGAGCCCTGGTGGTGTAGTGGTTAAAGCACTTGGCTGCTAACCAAAAGGTTGGTGGTTCAAAGCCACTAGCTGCTCCACAGGAGAAAGATGTGGGAGTCTGCTTCTGTGAAGATTTACAGTCTTGGAAACACTATAGGGCAGTGGTACTCTGTCCTACAGGGTCGCTATGAATGAGGTGGAATCGATTCGATGATGGTGGGTTTTTTTGGGTGGGTCTCATAAGTTTGAGAAATATTGCACACCATAACTGTTCCTCTTCAAGAGATTTATGATGCCCAAATTGTATGAAAGGTTCTGAGAATCTGTATAACTGTTTGACCTTGGAAGTGTTTGTGTACTCCGTCTACGATTATCCCTGAGGATGAGTGTTCTTTGGGCCACGCTGAGAAAAATGTTGGGTTACGGGGAGAATAGGTACAATTCTAATTTATTGAAGTTGATGTCTTAAAGCACAGAAATGTTCTCCCTCAACTTGTTTCTTATTACCACCAACCACCAGGGATATGGATCTGCTGACTGGCCATACTGATAACCTTTTTCTTCGATTTCTGATACTCTGATATCTGTCACTAAACTTTCCCATACTTGGTGAGGCCCTTGCTTTGAGGATGAAGAAGTTCTCCTTCTGACCTAGGGCCAGAGCTTGTTGGGAAGTGAGAAGTGAGGTGGGAACCTCAGTGGATGGAGCCCACACTCAGCAGTCCCCTTAGAACTTAAGGTGAAGGTGATGTGACCCACCAACTCTCTTCAGGTCAACAGAGCGACCTGCCTGTGGAAAATGAATCCCGGGACTCTCTGAAAAGCCTATTCAAATTAGACTCAAACAGAGCTGCATCCCACACCTCACTTTTCCCTCAATCCTAGGTGACAATCTTCTCTCGGAAGAAATGCACTGTCCACGTAGAAGTTCTTCAAGTGAGTTTAACAAAAACAGATAATCAAAGGAAGTGCAGAACAATGGGTGTGGCGAGCAGGAAGAGAGCTGCCATTTACCAAATGTCTACTATGTACCTGCAAGCACTTGGCGCTTTACGCCTTCTTTATTGAAACCAAGTACTTACATAGTATTCAGCAGAACTGACGGGACTTCCAGCCCTGAGAAGTAGCCTCTGAGGGAGGGAGCCAGCGCATCTGAAAAGACATGTGGGGAGAAGGCTGTGAGCCCTGTGGTACATTCTCATTCCTCAGAGGGTCTGCTTGCCTACCATTTCCTGACTATTCCAAGATGGTACCCACTCACACATGCCTATATACAATTCTCCCCCTGGGGCTGAAAAAGTGAATAGCAGAGTCCTGAGAAATTTTCCACACACCTTTTATCAATACATGGGCCAAGCGCTCAGGAAAGCATCCACTTCAAGAAGAAGCTGTTTCACCTACTACCCTACTCCTACCGTCCTTGTCATAGTTTACCAGCCACGCTAGGCTAAAACGTGGCCCAGTGAATTCCCTCCTCCGTTCTCCTCAGAAATGCCTAGGGTGGTGGGAAAGGCTGCTTAATGGTTTTCTAAGCAGGAAGTCAAGCATCTGTGGAAAATCTACCTGTTTTGATAAGGTTTCTTGAAAAGGAGCCAGGAAGGGACAGATCACGACGCCATCCATACCAGTGGCCTGGCTATGACCTCCTTTGAGATTCTCTTAGTATGCTTTTAGGCTCTGTGGGATGTCTGGTCCCCAAGTGCCCTCTGCTCCCTCTGATGAGGGGAGGGGCCTGCAACCTTTGACCTTGTGGAACCAGCAAGACCATCGCTTCCATTAGGTGTCCAAAGTAGGCGGCCAACCCTAGGCACAGATGGATTGAGGGCTGCTTTGCCAGCTTGGCAGACTGTTCCAGGTTCTGTGCCGAGGAAGAAATGGAAAAACAACCAAAACGGCAAGTGCACAAACATCCGTCTACAGGCAATGTCAGTTTGCCCTAAGCCTTTGGACAGAGGGGGCAAGAGATTCCCATTAAACTCTGCTCCTCCTTTTATGCTGAGAAGGGACAGCTTCCCCATCTCTACCCCTCAGGAATGGTCAGAGAAAGCAACGCAGGAAGCACTGGCAGGAGTGGGGTGGGGACAGCAAATGACAAGGGGGAGGGGAAACCTGTGCTGGCGGGAGAGGCTGAATGGCTCCGGGGAGGTGGCCTCCCCCGCGTGAGGCAGGAGTAGAAAACTGCTCTTTACCTTGGTCTGGCCCAACCTGTTCCACCTGAAAGAGTTTCTAGAAAAATGGAATGTGAGGCTGGAGGGAATTTTACCCTGACGATTCTACGTCATCGGTTTTAAAAATATCTATTTTGCACGGGTGGAGTCCTGGTGGCGCAGTGGTTAAAAGCTCGGCTGCTAACCAAAAGATCGGCAGTTTGAATCCACCAGCAGCTCCTTGGAAACGCTATGGGGCAGTTCTACCCTATCCTATAGGGTCGCTAAGAGTCGGAATTGACTCGACAGCAAGGGGTTTACGGGTATTTTTGCAGTGGAACCATTTTTTCCCTGTATGGCATTCAGATCTTCAGAGGATGAAGCAGGAGGTGTTCTTGCGGGCATGGGGGTGCAGTGGGGCCAGAGGACGTGAGCCAGGTACAGAATTTGGGGACTCTGAGGGGACGACCTGGGTACTCTGCCTGACACTGCCATGGGCAGTGGGGTCAAGGCTGGGTCAGAATCCAGGACCCAGGCTCCACCATGTCCTCTAACTTGGTTCTAATAGCTTGGGTGCTTAGAAGCGGGACCCTTGAGAAAGCCAGTAGAGATCCTTGGCATTTTGCCCTGTCCCACAAATGGATGTCGTCCTTGAGTTTCCTTGGGCTTCATTTGTTACTGCCCCGATGTGCCTCCTCTTTCCTCCCTGGCTGTCAATGCCATGGGTGAGGGACCACACCAGGAGACTCTATCCACCTTGCCCAACCTGGGGCAGAGGCGTCTGACTTCACTTACTCAGGAAAGGGGGCTCAGGAGGGGCAAGGGGGCATCCTGAGCTTCCACCACCAGCAGGAATGCATCCCAGGGAATCTCTCTGACCAGCTAAGCATTCGAGACCCTCTGGAGGGACCGTACCAACAAAACCAAACCTGCTGCCATTAAGTCG